GCTTGCAGCAGATGCTTTTTTTTTTTTTGTTTTTTTTGTTTGTTGTTTTTTTTTTTTTTTAATACTCCAGCGTTTCTCCTCCCAGGGCGACGGGTTTGGAGGAGGGAGGGCAGGGGGGAAGCTGCAATCAGGGACAGTTGCATGTAGATTCCCTGGGTAGTTGCCTCTCCTTCTCCTCCATGAACAAAAACAGACCCTCGGGGAGAAAAAGAAATACAACGCAGCCACTTTGACTGAGCGAAGTTCCCATGACATCAGAAACCACAAGGCCGAAGCTCACGCTAAAAAGGAGCGTGGGGAGAGAAGAATCTCTTGGACTCTCGTTCTCGACTCGGGGCTCAAACAACTAAGCCCTTCCCTCCACGCACGCACAGGCCTGGAGCGAGGGTGGGAAAAGAGCCTCCAAAACCACCTCTCTGCCTACTGTAAAAGCAAGCAAGGCCGATCAATCTGCTTTGGGAAATTGCTGCTGCCCTTCTGCAAGGTCTGTGTGGCACCAGCCTGCAGCAGAGAAAGAAAGAGAGAGGGAAAGGGCAGAGGGGGGGGACGATCCAAAAAAAAAAAAAACAAACAAACCACCCCACTGCTTGGAGGACAACGTGTTTCAAACCTGCTGTCCTCAGGGCTGGAGCACCGGGGGAAGCGGGTCTGTAGTTTTGCCCACTGTCGGGAGAGCGCAGACGCATCCCCGCTTCCCCTCGGCAGTTCTCGTGAGCTGGGGGATGACGGATGAGCCGCTCAGCCGTTCCCGCTCCCCTCTGCTGTGCGCACTTTCCTTGCGGATGCAAGATGAAACGCGCACATACACAAAGCGCGATGTTAACCGACAGAGCCGGCGCATTATTAAGTGCGAGGATTTGGCACTGGCAGGCACCCGAGTTAAAGGCTGCCGGGGAGCTCAGTGCCAGGCAGTTTGCTCAAAGCATCCCCCCCCGTACAGGAGATTTGGCTGCGTGCATTTCGACGCCTAGCCTTCCTCCAGCATCGCCGCCCTTCGCAGGGGCACAGCTTGCATCAGCCACCACCACC